GGAACCTGTCTAACCTCATTTCTCATTGACCTGGCATTGCCTGGAGGCATGGACTTTGCCTTCTCTCTGGGCCCAGTTATTTGAGGTGGAGGTGGTGACGGTGGTGGCCACGGTGGTGGTGGCAGTGGGGAAGGTTCCCTCAGCTTCCCTCCCCAGCGCCCAGCCCATGGCCCCATTCTGGCTTTGGAATCAGTAATCACAGTTTCTCCTCTGCCTGTCCTTCGGAGGGGTGACTCACCAGCTCCTCCCAGCATCCCCCCTTCCCACCCTCAGAGGTGTCATCTCGCCCCAGACAGAGCCATCCACCTCCTCTCTGTAGCCACTCCTGGGGCTCCTATTACCATGGCAACGGGCCGAACTAATTGCAACCCTCATCCTACTGAAGTTCAGCCTGCAGTGCCAGCACCCCACCCCCACCCTGGGCAGGAGGTGGGGAGGCCAAGGGGGTTGGGTTGGGGTCCCCTCCACTGCAGTGCTGTAGCTTTAACATCCTCGGCTCCCAATTCACACCCAACCCCTGCATTTAATCCCCACCAACTCTACCCTTTTCCCAGGGTTAAATTTTGGTCTCTGGGAAGCGGAAGAGGGGGAGGAACTGCAGCTAGAGGCTCCGTGTTTGTGATGTGGAACCAGCTTTGTCTTTGACTGGTTTGGAGAGAAAACAGAGGCCCTCTTCCTGGGACTTGCGCAAACCTTTCTAGTTCAAGGGACTCCAAGAGACCAACATTTCTGCCTGGGACCCACACCCCTGCCTGTGACACCATCGCCTGCACCTCCAGTCCTGTCTCACACCCGAGCTCTTTGCTTTTCCCACTCTGCACTTCTTCCTCCTTATTTCCCCTTCTCCTGTTTGCTCTCTCCTCTCCTGGTTCAACTCCTTTCATTCCCCGCCTTCTTTCTCTTCTCCCCGCACCCCACCCCCCTTCCCTGCGCCCCGCCCCGCGCCGCCGCTGCCCGGGCCGGAGTTGAGGAGTGTGTGTTCTGTTTCTCCCCTGTGCCCGCCCCCTCCCCCTCCGGCGACCAGGAGAGGGCGGAGCTGGCCGCGGGACGGAGGCACCTGGAGGCCCGCCAGGCGCTCTACGCCGAGCTCCAGACGCAGCTCGATAACTGCCCCGAGTCAGTGCGGGAACAGTTACAGGAGCAGCTGAGAAGGGTCAGTTTCACCAGCCCCCGCCCCCTCCCCGCCCCCGAGGGCCGCCCGCCCGGAAGAGAGGAGCGGTGGGCCGGGACCGCCTGGGCCCTGCAGTACCTGCCGGACGCCAGGGTCCGTGTTGTGGCTTGGAGGGGACAGGGAAGGATTGCGGGGCGGCGGGGGGGATGGAGGTTCTCCTTTCTGCTACTGCAGGCAGCGCTGCCCGGCAAAGGGGCAGAGCCGAGCGGAGGAAAGGGGGCGGGGTGGGGGCAGGTCCCTTCCTCCCGTTTCCCCGGGTCCAGCCCCCAGAAGTCTCACCTCTGTGAACTGGCCTTCCAGGCGCAGAGTGGTATCGTGAGCACCACCCGATCCCCTTTGTCACTGTCGTTCAAGGAGGCAGAAGCCCTGGAGACTGAGACAAAGCTCTTTGAAGACTTGGAGTTCCAGCAGCTGGAGCGGGAGAGCCGCGTGGAGGAGGAGCGCGAGCTGGCTGGCCAAGGGCTGCTCCGGAGCAAGGCCGAGCTGCTCCGGAGCATCGCCAAGAGGAAGGTGCGCGCCCCGCCC